TACTCCCATCCCTCCAGTCCAACCCCAGGTCGCCGAAAGCTCTCAGCAAGCTACCCCTCCCCGCCCCCTCCCTAGCTGAGGACCCGGATTCTCATTCCTTCTCCCAGCAGCGACAGTCCCCAAGCTCACGGCATCTGAACCTTCACAGCCACCGCCAACCCCAAGCGAGGAGTTCGGGTTGCCAGGATTAGTGGCAGTCAACACTCTACCTGAGAGGAGACAGCCGGCGGGTTCTCCTCCTCCTCCTCCTTTTTCGCGGCCTTGTGAAGCCTGCTCCACCTGGCAAGGGACTGTCAGCAAATTCCTCTCTGCATCACCGCGGGAGCGGCATCCCGGCTCCTCCCAGTAGGAGTCAACCTTGGCCCCGCCCTACGCTGCTCTGACCTGTGGGGGAACCCGGGCTAGATTATCATAAGCAGAGACCGAGCCTCTGCCCTGGAAATCCTGGAGCTATCGGAAAGATGACCATCGCGAATGCACAAGGCTGCCGCTCCCTGGCTGCGGTTTGCAGCTACGGAGGCTCTGGGCCTCGGCAGCTGCCTTACCCACCCACCCTCTCCCGTGCCTCAAACTCTCCTCTAAGGCCTCCTAGCCCAGCTATCCAGGGACAACAAAAGATATTCAACCTTGCTAAAGTAGCGCTACACCACACCCTGGGACCACATCCGGGCAAGGCTCAGTTCCCACTCCTTCAGCAGAAGAATGATCTCTAAACTGAACCCCATCCAGGAGTGGCATGAGTCCGGTCCATTTTGCCAGGATCACACTCAAGTGGGTCTCAAGTTTCATCAAATACCTGCTCACCCTGATGGAGAGACGGGTTTTGAAGTGGGGGCTGTTTCCATGTGTTTACCCGTTTCCCTAAGACCACTATGCAAAACAAGGGCTGTGGACAACAACGCTCTTCCCCTGGCCTCCCTCCCCCTCCACCCCTCCCACCCCCGTCCCCCACCTTCGGTCATGGTCTGAGTTCACTTATTTAACAGACGTTTTATTATGAAGATTCTCAGTAGAGTAGTTAATGAGATAGGAGCAAGTACTGAGTAATATTTTATAATAGTGAGATATTGTCAGAGCTGTTAGCAATATGAAAAGGTCACGGAAGAAGCAGTGTGAGACAGCGCCAGGAGACACTGGGGGAGGGGGGGAAGATAACTATGTCTTCCTGGGCTTTTGTGGCCAGCAGCCCTAACACCCTGTGCTAGGTCTCCCCATGCTATGCTTTTCCCTCTGCAGAGGGACTGGGCCAGTTGAGGTCTAAGTCCTTCTGCTCTAACACTGTCACCCGGTTTCTTAGTAAGGGCTAAAGGTATGGAGACAAATCAGTTAAGTGTAAGAGTCTTGTATGAGAATTCTTGGGCTGTGTGTGGTGACGCACACCTTTGATTCCAGCACTTAGGAGGCAGAGGCAGGTGGATCTCTGTGAGTGTGAGGCCAACCTGGTTTATATAGTGAGTTCCAGGACAGCAAGAACTCACTATATGGAGAGACACTGTCTCAAAAAAAAAAAAAAAATCCTCAGAGTCTACATTCAGGTCCCAACCAGGCCACCTGAACAAAGGGCTTGATCTTTCTGAGATTCATTGTTTGTTGTGGATTATTATTTTAAGGTGAGTTACATTCATTCATGCTGTGGAACATTTCCTTAATGATGCTAAGATGTGTTGCATTCTTTTCTGTTGCATTTGTTTAACTCTGTAAAGCTGTGTTACTTTGCCTGACTAAAACACTTGATTGGTTTAAAGGGCTAGGCAGGGCTGCCAGGCAGAGAGACTAAATAGGAGAAGAGGGGAGGAGCGAGAAAAGGAGGAGAGAGGATTCCAAGAGGCAGTCACCCAATTACACTACTAGCCACAGAGCAAGAAGGAAAGAAAGGAATAGAGAACAGAGAAAGGTAAAGGCCCAGAGGCAAAAGGTAGACAGGATAATTTAAGAAAATCTGGCTAGAAATAAGCCAAGCTAAGTCCAAGCATTCATAGGTAAGAATAAGACTCTGTGTATTTATTTGGGAGCTGGGTAGTGGTCCCCAAAAGATAAAGAGAAAACAACAACAACAAAAACAAGAAAACCACAATTGTTTGCACGTGTAAAAGGGAGTAAATGAGAGTGACCGAAAGAGCCAGTTGTGAGGATTAACTGCATGCCCTGAGAATGGTGGCTGTTATTGTTAAATTGGGAAACAGCAGAAAGTTAACAAAAGCGGTTGCTCCCTTCCCTGCTCCCTCATCACAGAACCTGCTACCGCTGGGCCACACCAAGCCCCAAAGCCCATGACTGAGAGACCTGCTAAGTGTGACATGTGACGAGCGTGACATAGGGGATCAGGTCGCGGTGTGGGAAGAACAAAAGGAGACCCACAAAAAATGCCAGGCCAACCTAGAAGAGAAGGCTGGGGTATCCCAGCCATGCAAATGCCAGCCATCCAGGTGGGGGTCAGGCTTGTAGAAGGTTCCCGGTGAAGACGTGTGGGAACAAATAATGCGGATCCAGCTTTTGCGCTCAGTGCCGTGAACTGCAGTTACTTATGCTCTCTCTCCTGCGGGCTGTGCTTTGACCTGTGCTGTCCTCTCCGAACCACACCACTTATGCTATGGTCTTCACAACTGTGTCGGTAAAATCCAGTGTTTTGCAGGGAGCACAGTCGAGAATGATAATAAGACGCTAAAGGGTCCAAGTAGCTCAAATGGAGCTGCCTGGCAAAGTCGGCAGCTTCTCCTGCACGGAAGCTCCTGGTGTCTTCCAACAGGGCCCATTGTCGTTTATTCCCTGTTCTGGTTTAAATGCCAAAGGTCTTCCGCAGGCTTCCGTTCTTGGTCTGTAACTGGTGACACTGTTTGGGGACACTGTGGAACTTTTGGAACAGTGACTAGTTAACGGAAGTGGTTTGCTGAGGGTAGACCTGGAAGGTGGTTACCATATCCGCATTGGTCTGAGTTCCCTCCTCCATGATCCACCAAGATGTGAAGGAACTATGTGGTTTTCACCTCCGACGACCCAGACACCGACTGAGCCTTTCCGGACACGGTGCCTTCCTGACATGATTGACGGGTTATCCTCTGCAGCCACGAGCCAAAATAAATCTTTGCTTTGAATTGTTTGTATCGGGCATCCCGTCCCCGCAATGAGAGGAGTAATCAAACTCATGGCCACACAATTTCCACAGATGCAGGGGGGGAGGGACTGCCATGAACTGGAGTGTGTCCTTCCTTTCCCTCTCCCTTGTAAAAGAAGATCTCTGAAGTTTGCACCCCGTATTCACACAGTGCCAGAGACTATGCCTCCCAGTGCATAGTCTCCCCCCGCACCACACACACACCAGGGCAGCAGCAGCTACAGACTTAAGTCCTTGGCTAGTAGGGAGTAGGTGAAAATGACCCTTTAAACAGAGCAGCCTGCTCCCATTTTCCTCTCCCTGCTCCATGGAGACTGAAACATAGAGGGAGACTCACGGAGACTAAACCAATAGCCGAATATTTTGTTTTAAAAGGAAAGCAACAACATCCAGGAAGTAAGTTCAGTCAAGAGAACTTCAAATCAAGTTTGTGTGTTTGAGAGAGAGAAAATTTTGACCTCCAGAAAAACTCAGTCACCCCAAGTCACACCTTTGAGGGCACAAAGCAGGTTTTGATTCATCGCCATGACACTAACCTTCACAAGATGAGAAGTCTTTTTTGTTTGGTTTTGGTTTTGTTGCTTGTGTTTTCTGAGACAGAGATTTCTCGGTGTAGCCCTGACTGTCCTGGAACTCCCTCTGGAGACCAGGCTAGCTTCAAACTCACAGAGATCTTCCTGCCTTTGCCTCCAGAGTGCTGGGATTAAGACGTGTGCCACCACCACCTGGTGAGAAGTCTTTTTATGTCTAGTGTCTAGAACAGTGCCTTGCTTACTGAATTCTTTCCCTGGCTGGATCAGGGAGAGGGGGGTGAAGCCCATATTCCCTTTTAAGGTCTCCCCGTCCATTCGGATCACTGAGCAGTAAAACTGGGAGGTAGGCTTCACAACCAGAGTGGCCCTGGCAACTGACCCCCGATATCTAGAAACCACTGCACCTGCATACACCTAGGCTCCCAACGACCGACCTATACAAAGACCTTCACTGGACATGCTTGTAATTGCCAGAATTAGGTACAACCATCCAGGGCCAAAGTGAATGCTTGGTGACACTCGGAGACAGGCGAGAGACCCACAAAAGTGGGTTGTGCACACTAACTGCGTGTTTTTCACAATTGTCATACCAGTGGTTTAGGTGAGGGAGCCATACAAGGATGTCCGCAATGCCTTGTGACCCGGAGCTGGGGAAGACTGCTAGGCAGGGACCTAAGTGACAGGGACCCAGAATATGAGCTCCTGCTGCTGACAGGGACAATATTTTCAAATTGGAGCCGAGATAACATATATATCCCAAGGGACAGTCCAGCTATCCAGGTCCGCTGTCCCCACGAGCGAGCCACAGGACGATTCAGCGGAAGGGAAGGTGCTTGTCAACAGTGCAGGCTTTTCTCCATGTTCTCACTCGTCTTGCCAGGGGAAGACAATTTGATGTCCTGAGTAGATGAGAGCAATACACTGCCTGCTGTCTCACCAGACATGATGCTGTAGCACTCCAGAGTTCTACAGCCAAAGGCCTGGGGCCTACGTCTACACATAGATCCTTATGCCTAAAGGGAACTACATGTCCCAGCCCAGGGACCAAAGTGGAAGACCCTGAGAATCACTTGGCACTCTCTCAGTGGGGACCCCAGGCCTCTCTTTTCCTGGGCCAGTCCCGAACTCCATCCCTTACTAATTTTCCGTGATCCCCACTCACCAAGACCGCACCTATGGGTTGCTCTTAGCCAGCAGCTGCCTCTTTGGCCAGTACATCTGTCTGGGAAGAGGGAAAATTGAAGACAACCATCCACAGCCACTACCAACGATCAATATTGGGAACTCCTGGGGGGTGAAGTCAGCGGCAGGGGCCTGGTGACATCACAAAGGGCATACACAGTTTTCCTGGAACTCTAGAGAATCTAGACAGAAAGGGCTCTCCACCTGGAATAAAGCCAGCCTGCCTACCATTGGGCAAGTCTGGGGGTGAGTTTCCAGCCTCCTCCCAACTCCATTTGACCGTAGCTGATAGTGGGATCATGCTGCTAAAGAATATGTGGGTTCACGTACTGATATTTTATTGTAGCTAAAGAAACCGCTGATGTGGTATGTATGCCCCTCTGTATGCTGTGAATATGTTTTATTACTATTCGTTAATAAGGAAGCTGCTTTGGCCTGTGGCAGAGCAAAATATAGCTAGGTAGGAAATCCAAACAGATATAGGGAGAAAGAAGGTGAAGTCAGACGCCAGCAGCTGCTGGAGAAGCAAGATAGGAGGTAACAAGCCACGAGTCTCGTGGTAGAATAAAAAATAATAGCAATGGGTTAATTTAAAAGTAAGAGCTAGTTAGAAATAAGCCTGAGCGAATAGGCCAAACAATTATGATTAACATTAAGCCTCTGAATGATTACTTTATAAGCATCTGTAGGAACTGGCAGGTAGGAGAGAAACCTCCAGTTACAAATGGCTCCCAATGTGGGTTATGGATCCGTAAAAGACCTAAAAGAGCTTCAAAAAGGGTTCTAAACACACAAAAATGGAGCCATGCTGGGCTTCCTAGTCTCTCATGCTAGCCACGGTCCAGAGATGCATCTCCCTACAGCTGCCCGCAAGATGGAGCCAGCCACCAGCTATGGCATGATACATTTTTAACAGTCTCACACAGACCTCGGTACAGAGAGGCTAATCAGCCGCGCTGTGTGGTAGGTTTAGCCTTTACTCATAAAGACAAAAAAGAAGTTTGTGGGTTGGCTGCCTGCTACCTGATGGCAGCATGGCAGGTGCAGGGAGAGGTAAGCCTGACACTTGTTGCCCTCAACCTCTGCTGTGTTGAAAAGCTGAGCATGGCAGAACCAACAGTCAAAACAACTGTTCTGGTCCTAGTCATGCCCACCTAACAGTTTAAAACAGTGATCAAAAAAAAAAAAAAAAAAAGATTGCAGATACGTAATAAAGACAGATTCGGACAAAAATAAACCTCTAAATGGGTCACAGTGTGTTTAAAAAAATGTTCGTAGGTTTGGGAGAGAGAGGAAAAAGTACAGGCAGTTATAAAAAATAGCTTTAAAAAATAAAAATAAAGTCTTTAAATAGACAGTAAAATAATATAAAAATAAGAAGCCATGTAAAAATGAAAAATACACAGAGAGTCTGGATTATGTATATTATTGTGTTTTCTTTGAATTTTTTTGGCTGCTAATGAACTAGCTACAGAGAGACGTTTGTTTGTGGGCCTGCTGGGCTAAACCAACATAAAGGTATCTTAGCTTCAAAATTTGGGTCTAAGGATGTGTTGCTTTGGAAAAGAGGTTCTGTTTTTGTTTCAACAAAAGATGAGAAGCCGTGGATTCCTTCCAGGATCAAGTGGAACCCCTGAGAGGTCTCCATGGGAGCCATGGCCTAGGTGATGCAGCATCCAGAGCAGCTTCAAGACGACTGGTGGAGACCCTGCAGCCTCACAGACTACTACAGCAAAGATTTAATCTCAGGATCCCCGCAAGATTACCAGCACCCCCAATTGTCAAGAAGTAGTCTAGAAAACTATGCCCAAGTTCCCCAAATATTGTTTGTAAATGTTTGTTTTCACTTAGAGGGAGTTGGTTATAAATGGTTAACGGTCACAGTCAATCTCTTTCTAAAAGAGGAAAGGGATATGATATAGGAATGATGTGAGGTGGCGAGTCACAAGCCTTGTGGTAAAATATAAAATAATCGAAATGGGTTACTTTAAAAGTAAGAGCTAGTTAGAAATAAGCCTGAGCTAATAGACCAAACTACTGTAATTAGTATTAAGCCTCCAAACGATTATTTCATAAGCGGTTATGGGGATCAGTGAGTGTGAGGAGAGAAACCTCCCATTATAAACCTCTTCACAGCAAGCCAGTTCTCCATGAAGCAGAAATTCATCTTTTCCCTGAGCCACCTTGTAAGGAGCCTCTCTCCATGACTCAGGCCCAAACCCTTGAGACCAGTTCCGTCATGTTTGTTCATTGAGGGATGTATACCTGTCAGGGGTCATACAAGGGGACCAACAGACAGCACTGAAACTCAAGGAACATAGCTGAGTGGTCAGCAAAGCCGCATCTGCATGAGTCTTAGAGAGGCAAAGCTCTGAGGACTGTGTTCTAAGGACCCCATGCTGTTATTGACCTCCCTGGGCACCACATCCCTCTTAATCTGTGGGTTGTATGAAAGCTCTCAGGAGATTCCTTGCCCCTACTGGGCAGTGGTACTGATATTTACAATAAAAGTGATTGACTTTTTCCAAGCATTGCCGCTGGAGCAGACTAATGATTCAACCACCACCTTTGGGAAGAATTTAGAAATGCAGAATTGTTAGTAAAGTTCGGTTAAGATGTTTTGATAATAGCTTCGAGGTAGAAAATCTTGGGAAACAAGTTAAAGTTTGGAAATTAAAACACACTTTTAATAGTTGAAGAAAGGATTTATAGAGGTCAGGAAACAGAAACAATGACAATCTGGCAATTGCTGGCTGACATACCTTTCCTGCTAGAATTAATTAGTTGGTGATCAAAGGTGGTGATTAATTTCTTGTACCAATTCCTGCCCTCAGGTTCCTAATATAAAAGACTGCTGTTGAGTGGGTGTGTACCCTGAGGACTGAAAAGAGAGATGACTGGTTTTTTTTGTTTGTTTGTTTGTTTGTTTTTGTTTGTTTTTCGAGACAGGGTTTCTCTGTAGCTTTGGAGCCTGTCCTGGAACTTGCTCTATAGACCAGGCTGGCCTCAAACTCACAGAGATATGCCTGCCTCTGCCTCCTTTAATCCTGAACTTGGGTTAAAGGAGTGTGCCACTACACCCGGTAACTGATTATTTTCATATATAAAAGTTTAGATTTGTGATTCTTTTAAGAATTTTTTTTTATAAGATTGCCATTTAAGATAAATAATGAAGCAATTGATCTTTCCTTTGAAACTCCAAAGTGCTGCCTGCCAGTAAAAGACCTGGCTGAGAAAAATACCTCTCTTGCTACACTGTTAGTCTATAACAAGTAGCTTGTACATCAATGTTTGTGAGTTCTCGGAGATAATTAGTTTTTCAGCTGTAATATGTAAAGTGTTTAATCATGAAAGGGATATGGAAAACATGCGGTTTCTTACTTGTATGCACTGTAATCATTCACTTAAAATTAGAATGTAACCACATTGTGATTTTTATACCGCTTAGAGATTTTGCTGGGGTATAGAAGACACAAGAGAAAAAATTAAGAATCGACAGAAAGGATACATCTGGATAGAGGTAAGAAAAGAAATAAAGGAGATGAGAGACAGATGATAGAAAGACCCTAAAGGTGTGTGTGTGTGTGTGTGTGTGTGTCTGTGTGTGTGTTTCCCTTTTGATGCCTGTCACAGAAAATTAGGTTTTGCCCACTCACCAGCCCTAGAGAACTAAGTTCTACTCCCTCAGAATAGTCAACTGAGTGATTCATTTGCTGACTCCACGGCTCCCCCTCAGTGCCTGAGCTGCTGGTCCTCACAGCAGCAGATACTTGTTTAGTCCTGGACATGGTCTTTGTGTTAAAGCCTTGAGAAGTAGAATACAGACAGGAAAGTGTATCTGAGACCCAGATGAACACTAGACTGAGTACTCACGTAGCAAACACTGATAACCAGCGCCCAAGTCAGAGACTAGGACCTTTACCCCCAGGCCTCTCCTGTGTGGTCTCCCAGCCTCATCCCTTCCTCTCCAGCCCTTCTCCTCCCAGATACAGCTCTAGATGGGCCTTCTAGAGGGCTCTCCTTGCTTTGCTTTTAGTTGTACCAGTCAATTATTCATCCCTAATTGGTACGGTTTGCCTTGTGGTGTTGTGGAGTATTTAACTGTGTAAAGGTTCGTGTTACATTTACTTATGCTGCGTTTGTTTAATTATGTAAAGATGAGTTGCATTTGTTTCACCTTGCCTGCCTAAGGCATCTGATTGGTCTAACGAAGAGCTGAATGACCAATAGCTAGGCAGAAGAGGGAAAGGTGAGGCTGGCAGGCAGAGAGAATAAATAGGAGGAGGAATCTAGAATGGGAGGAGAAAGAGACGGACATGCCTAGGGCTAGAAGCCAGGCAGTCACTGGACAGATGCGAGAAACAGTGAAAGTAACTTACACAGAAGGAAAGAAAAGTAAAAAGTTCCAAGGTAAAGGGTAGATAAGGAGAAACAGGTTAATTTAAGAATTAAAAAAAATTAAAATAAAAAAAAAGCTACCCAGAGAGGCTGGAGATGGCTCAGCAGTTAAGAGCACTGGCAGCTCTTCCAGAGGTCCCAAGTTCAATTTCCAGCAACCACATGTTGGTTCACATGTAATGTAATGAGAACTGATGTCCCCTTCTGGCATGTAAGAATACATGCAGGCAGAACACTGTACACAAAATAAATAAATATTTCTTAATTTAAAAAAAAGAGCAGCCAAAAACAAGCCTAAGCTAGGCTGCATTCATAACTAATAAGATATCTCCATGCCATGATTTTGGAACTGGTTGGTGGACAAAGAAAAGGCCCAGTACATTGTGGTCTGGATTTAAAGTATATATTAATGTAGTCAGAATGCCACTCACACACACACACACACACACACACACACACATACATGATTTATCTATGATAAGGTACACAGTTGTAGTTTATCCAATATCTCTACTCTATGGTACTCTAATTATGATATAAATTCTTTGACCATGGTTGATGTAAGTTTAGCTAGTTCCAATTTCTTTCTTTTTTTCTTTTTGGTATGTTGATCTTTGGCTAAACTATTTGCATCCCTACCAGCAAAAGATGAGAATCCCAATGGCTTCAGACCCTCGCCCACATCCAGTGATGTCAGTGCTGGTCTAGGTTTTGGAGATGCCAATAGGTGTGCCTTCCAGGTAAGAGGCAGCAACTTAGTGATGCTCTCGTTTATCACCCCTAACGTTGGAGGACTTCCCATGTTCTCACTTGGTATTTGTGTTGTGTCGACGTGTCTACTATTTGTATTTTGTTACTGTGTCTTTTGCTCATTCTAAATGGTTTCTTGATTTTTTTTTAATTGCTAGGTTTTAAGGATTCTCTCTATATTTTGGATAACGGTACTTTATCAGATGTGACTCTCATTCTGTGGCTTGTCTTACCCTTTTGACATTGTCTTACAGAGCAGACATTTTAAACTTTAATGAAGTCCAGCTGGCCAATCAATTATTTCTTTCATGGGTTATGTCTTTATCATAATACCCAAGGCCATCTTAGCGTTCCTTGTGCTGCCTTCTGGGAGTTTTATAGGTTTGCATTTTACACCTAGGCTTAGAATGTATTTTGAGTTACTTTTTGTGGGAAGGATAAAGTCTAGGCTTTAATTCCTTTTTTACCCCCCCCCATTGTTCCAGCATGATATATTAATGACTGTCTTTTCTCCATTGTGCTGATTTGTTTCTTTGATCATGTGTGCTGTGGTGGTTTGAATGAGAATGATCCCTATAGGTTCAAATGTTTAAACACTGGACCCTCAGTTGGTGGACCTGTTTGGGAAGGATTAGTGGGTGGGGTCTGATTGGAGGAGGTATGTCACAGGGATGGGCTTTGAGGCTTCAAAAGCCTCCCACCATCCCCAGTGTCCCTTCTCTTTCCTATATGTGAACCAAGCAGTTGTCAATTGCTGCCCCAACTGCCTGTTGCCATGCCTTCATTCCACCATGCCTTCATTCACTCCGCCATGCTAGACTCTAACCCTCTGGAACCATAAGCCTAATTAACCTTTCTTTTATAAGTTGCCTTGGCCAGAGTGTCTTATCACAGAAATAAAAAAGTAAATACATGTGTAGAAATGTGTCTGAATTCACCATTTGATTCATGTAAACCTGAATTTTCTACATAGACATTTATAACATCTAGGGACAGAGACATCCTTTCCAGTCTGTGTAATGTCATTTCCTTCTCCCACACTGCACTAACTGGAATTTTCAGTATGGTACCAAAAAGAGGTGTGTGTATGGGGGTGTAATTTTGATCTTGTGGGAAAGCGTCAAATACCTTACTATTGAGTTTGATATTAATTACACATTTATTAGAGATATTATTTACAAATTAAGGATGTTCCCTCTGTTCCCAGTTTGTCAGGAATCTTTATTTTTGCATTTTAAAAGGTTTCAATTAATATTCTCTCTCTCTCTCTCTCTCTCTCTCTCTCTCTCTCTCTCTCTCTCTGTGGGTGGGGGGCAGGGGCCAGAGGACAACTTCTGGGAGTCAGTCTTTTTTTTCCATCTTGTGTATTCTGGGGATCAAATTTAGGTCATCAAGCTTGGCACCAGACAACCCCACCCGCCGAACCACCTCACAGGCATTTCCAGGAGTTTCTAATCGTGAGTGGACACTGGATTTTTACTAACTGCTTTGTCAGTACTGCTGTAGTTTGGATCTTGAATGCCCCCAAATGCCCACATGTCCAAGTGTGGCCTCCCAGCTGGTGCCATGAAGAAATGGTAGGATTTTTCGTGGGTGAAGCCCAGTGGAGGGAAGTCAGGTCCTCGGCTGAAGGGGATGCTGGAAGCCTAGACCTTCCTCTTCTTTCACTTGCGCTTTACACTGCCTGAGTTGAGCACCTCACTCCACAGTGCGCCCCCCCCCC